ATATATATATATATATATATATATATATATATATTAAAACATATGTTTCATAAATGCAATCAAAGTTTTTATTATTAATATCATTTATATAGGTATATGTATATATAAATGACATTATTTATGCTGTAATATTTATATACATATTCTTATAAATAATCGCTGCCATTTACAACAATTATTTTTATATTGTTGCTATTTATTCGTATCTTTGCGGACAACATAAAAAGATACGGGAAAATGCAATTTTATATAAATTGACAATTATACATAATTTGAATAAAAAATAAGTTTTATAATATATCATATATAAACTGTATTATTATATCCAAACATACACATAATCTTAAATCAATTAGTTATTAATCACATCAATTTTTATATTTTTACATTTTTATACATTAAAATATTTATTGCAGGATAACCACATAATATTTTATTTTTTGAGAAATTTTAAAATTGGTTTTCTATTTGTTATCACGTTATTTAATAAAAAGAAGGCATTTCTTTTCACATCGCAAAATATTGATATCAAAATAGGCATATTAGCCTTTTGTTGCCAAATCGTAAAAAAATAAAATTCAAAGATTAATGAAAACAAGAATGAGTTATCAATAGAAAAATAAGATCGAGGTGGGATCTTCAACTCGAAAGTCGACTCCTTGTTCGTGCATTTTGCGATCATACTGGTAATTAATATTGTTCAATATAGCACGATTTTGAATATTGATGTTCCGAGGTTTTACATGTATCGTTTTGAAATCTGCGATCACGTTGGTTCGATCAAGTTTATTGATGACGAGATAGATAGCGGAGAAACAATTTTCCTACTTACGGGTTTTACGTTCGGCTTGAAGCTGACATATCTCACGTAAAGTTTCAAAATTTCTAATAATTCCGTCATACTGTAATCTCTTCAGGCATTTGCAACGTATTAACATAGACACCAACAAATCATCGAGCGATTCACGGTTGTTCCTAAGCTGTAGCATAACTTCAACTACAAGAGGAGATATATTTTTTTTTGCTTATTCCGTTTTGATAATTTATAATGATTTATATAAAATATTTATTCACCGAGAAAAGCATGATTTCACTTATGAACTTTACTTAATGAATTCGTGACAGAACCAACAGATATTTTATTAATTAATTATATTAAAAATTTATTATATTTTATTATAATATAATTTCTATAATACCTAATGTATTTGTATATTGAGTAATTATCAGACCAATCGTGTTTCTGAAATTTCGGGATCTGCTCTGATCCCATACGTGGCCGCTGAACATATGAAACTTAGCTAGAGGTACGCTAGGCAATAACAAATAGTACATATCCTCATAATGGGAGATGTTCACTGAAAATCAAAATTGAAAAACTGAATATGATATAATAATTTTCAATAAAAATCTGTACATTCTATATAAATTATTTATTAATAAAAATTAAATCTATCATTGAAAAATATTATTATATTTCTTTAAATTATTTCATAAAATTACTTGAAATTATTTGCTTCATTGAGCACACAAAGTTCGTAGAACCAACGAAAAAATAAACTGAGATTAATTCAGAAAATTAATAAAGATAGAGATAATTTAAGAATAGTATATATAGCAATATTTTGTTATACCTATGGTATATGACACTCTCAGATTGGGGCAGGCAAGTACCAAATTTCGCCAAGTAGCATCTGCTATCATGTGCTGCCTAGATTCGGAATCCCTTATGGATATATACAGATTTTTAAGTGTTTTCGATGCTGCGAGAGCATTAAGAGCGTGATTCGATAAAGCCGAATAGTCCAATCTTAATAAAGTTAACGCATGAAAACGTCCCAACAAACTTAAGTATCTAAAAAAAAAAATGATGAAAAAGCATTTCGTTAATTAATCACATTCGTATAAAATTTATATAAAATTATAAATAAATCTTGAGGCTATATAAAAAAAGACTCCTCGTTTTTATTTAGCACAATTTATTCTTGTACATATATTTATGCGTATATAAAGTATATTTTAGTAACTTTACGTGCCTCGGATTTTCGTAAGGTGCTTGCCACCCTCTGAAAGCACCGCGGAGATCCAAGGAAATTAAGTGTTCACCAGATCTTTTGGCAACTGTTCTCAACAACCGCAAGACGTCGGTCATCCCGAGATCGGCGTTTAACAAGCTTAGAATCTCCAAGCTGCGTTGACCACTGCAAATTGGGAAAAAGTATTAATTCTTACATTCGTTTTTTTTTTTTAAGGATTGATAAAGAGGAACGGTTTCAGCCACCGCAGGAACTTTGTCAAGTAACCGAGCAATATCCCCCGGTTGCCCCATTTGTCACCGAACATCCAGTTCGTCAAGGTCAGCTGTCGTAGTTGTACATTCTTAACGTGCATAATTGAGAGAAATACGATGCCCTCCCACATCTGAATGTTGCATCTGATTCTAATTTGTCTCGGCGAGATGTATGGTCGCGAAAAAGCGAGCTCCAAGTTGCGCATATGCTGCCCATATTTTATCTGTCGAATGTACGATAAATCAATATCGAATCAACAATATCGAATATAACACTATCTATAATAATAATGTAACGTTAACAACAACAGTATAATGTAGTACGAAATTTTACTCATCAAGATCGCATTTATTAAAACGATGATTTGACTCAGACATTGACGAGGATTCTTTGGATTTTTAGATTTTTTTTAAATTTAAATTCATCAAAATGAATTCCTTTCCACTACGTGATTTGATAATATTTATATTTCACTACTAAAACGACTTTTCTTCGAGACACTTCCTCCTCGAATAGTTTTTTTTTTTTTTTCCAAATTAGTCTATACATAGGCAGTTCGATTTTAAGTTCCAAGATCGATTTAAATTCGTAGCCAGGAAGGATTCACGTGCTTTGTCGTATGTCCCGGAAAAATTTTCTTACAACCAGTTCTTCCGCCAGAGGAAGCTCGCCGCATAGATCACGATCGATGAGGATCGTGACGGATCGCCAGAGCTCGGGTGAGGACAACGCGCGGTTCCACGATTGACAGACTTCGCCGACATTGGCGCGATCGGCACGGTCGAGGTGGCCGAATATTTGCGTCAATATCAGCTCAGGTAGTTGATCCCACATCTCCCGACTTCAGCTTGACCCGTCCTCATCTCTTCTAGGCGGTCGTTGGCCTAAATTGTCGTTGGTCACTTTAGCCTTCGGGTTTCGTCGCCGAGTTTCCGTTGATCGCTCTTGTCAAAAAAAATGATCGATCATAAGAGATCGAGTTGAAGTGTGTCCCGAAGAGTTTAGCAACGAAAGAGTTTATCTTTTTTGCTTTTGATATTCGGTAAATTAATTTATTTGGTTAACTTATTTATAAAAATAAATATTCTCTGCTTTAATTAATTAAAAAACACAAATTGTAATATAATTCAAATTATAGCAGAGAATAGTTTGCGATTCAAAATTTATATTTTCATTCTTTTTCATTCTTTTTATATATTGATGTTTGCATAAAAATGAAATTATTATAACCACATAATTAATGATGACCGTTAATGATTACTATTATCATTGATTATCATTTAATTATTACTTAATTGTTAATCATTTCAATCTCGAAATTTATATTTATGACGATTGCACGATGTATCGATTGCACAATATCGAGATTCGATTATATCGATGTTCAAACAACATCGGTTGATATATCGCAAAATAATAAACAGAACGCGTGTTTAAACACGGGTCCGAATATGGTGTTACATCGAGTGAAAAGAAGAAGAAAAGAACGCACTTTGTAATGTGTTTTGTAATGACCTTATAGTGCTGTTATCTATCGAAGTTGCTTTTATGCGTTGTAGTTTAATTGTTCGATAAAATCACACGTCCTAAATTTAATAAAAATTTAGATAAATATAGTATACTATTGTATTGTAGTATATTATAAAGATATCCTTGAAAGCATAAACTATCATAGAAGATATTCATAGCACGAAAAATGCGATCTATGACAAAATTGTTCACTTCGCTAAGATATGCATTAAGAAAGAATACACGCGTGCGAAACCTAACCTCTCAGTCAATCACCTCTGCTACAAATGCGAATGTCGACAAAGAAAAAGGTAGCTTTTTCAAATCATTCTCTGGTAATTATATTAACATAATGCCTTCTCCTCCGATTTTCCTGTTTGTACAGTTTTGTACATTTGTATCTTCGTACGTAGAATATATTCTGAGAAGAAAGCTCATGTCGCTCAAATTCCAAAGAAATGTTAGATTTGAACTTCAATTCACATAAAAAGAATAAAAAAGATAAATTTTAAATTACAAACAATTCTCTGCTATAATTTAAATTATGTAAAAAAAATTGTTTTTTTTTTTTAATTCATTAAAGCAGAGAAGCATGTGCAACCATAAATTATCATTAAATTATTTTCTAATTTACTGACATCAAAAAACTGAAAAAAACGGGATTTGATTTTTCTTTTCAGAATATATTCATGCACAAAGATACACTAATTTATAAAGTTACAGAAAAATCAAAGAGAATGTTATACTTACTAATTGGTATATTGATTCATTCTCTAAAATTGTAGCAGGCAGATGTAAGCCTCAATAATGTTTGTATTCGTTTCAGAAAAAACGGTGCTGGTTAAACAGCTGGGGCAGGTAACTACGATTGGTATCAACCGTCCAGAAAAGAAGAACTGTTTAGATGTTGCAACTGCACAGTTATTATCTGAAACATTGGATGAATTTGAAAATAACAAAGAATCGTTAGTAGGAGTATTATATGGAGTGGGAGGTAATTTTTGTGCTGGTTACGATCTTAAAGAGATTGCTAATTACGATGGCGAAAATGAAGAAAGCATACCACACTTTGGGCCATTGGTAAATTTGCATTTTATTAGAAATTACAAAGTGATACATTTGTTTAGGATACAAAAAACTACAATTTTTTGTAGGCAAACAGAATTGAATTATGTAAGAAGCCAATGGTTGCAGCTTTGAGTGGATATGCAATTGGAATAGGATTCGAGCTTGCTCTAATGTGCGATTTGAGAGTCATAGAGGATACTGCGATGGTGGGTTTCCTAAATCGACGTTTTGGGATTCCAATTTTTAGTGGCGGTACTGTCCGTTTGCCTGCTCTAATTGGATATTCCAGAGCTATGGATCTTATATTAACAGGAAGGCTAGCTTCCGCGCAGGAAGCATTTAATTGGGGAATTGCACATAGAAGCACATGTTGTGGTGCAAGTACGTATAAAGTCTCTTTTAGATTTATTTAAAATTTTAAGAAAAAATTTATTATGGATTTTTATAAAATACTTGGTTTATAAAATAAAATAAAAATCTTACAGAAAGTATTCTCCTTTGTATATTTAGATGTATTATTTTTTTAGTTCTTTGATTATGTAAAATTATTGCTAATGATATATGTTTATTTTTAATCAATCTAATCTTTTTTCAGGTTTGGGTGTAGCAATGACCTTGGCGTCTTCCCTTGTAAAATTCCCGCAAAAAAGTTTGTTGGCGGATCGTACTTCTGCACATTTTGCCACGTTTATGTCGAAAGAAATAGAGGAAGCACTGCAGTTCGAAAAGGATAATTCTTCACATTTGATATTAGAAGAAGGTGTTCCAGGTGCCAAAAAATTCATCGATGATGGAATAGGAAGACATGGGAAATTTTACAATCTTAAAGAGAAAAGTTCAAGCATTCGTGAATTAGATGAAAATTTACTATAAAAATATATATATGTAATTATGTATATAATGTTTTTTAAATATTTTAAGTGTAATAAAATTATCAATTTTCATAACTTCTTTTTATCGATAAACTGATTGTACAGAAATATTATATTTAATGTATCATTTATTCTCTCATCATGTAGTTCGCTATGTTTACGATATACAGCTACGATTGTAAAATAATATATTCCATTTATTAGATTTATTGGGCGTTATTATTATTATTATTGGACTTTGGATCTAGAATTAATGGAGGAAATTTTTTGCATTAGTCTTGGCATCTTCGCTAGAATATCGCAGTATTTTTCGGCTGCCTTTCCAGTTAAAAGCACTGTAAGGTTCATCATCTGTCCATTTTCATCTCCTGAAAAGTACTTTTTATATAATAATTAATATTAATAATAATAATAGGTATTAATATTAATATTAATAATAGGTAAATGTAGTCTTATCATTATTTACGTTCAAAGGTGACGATGAAATATGTTAAATTTGATTGAAGAATATCCGTTCCACGTGTATAGGGTTCATAGAGAGATACATTCTTAAATTGGCAATTTATTTCATCACATAAATCGAACTCTCCTGGAAGATATTTTTGTCATTTTAATTGAAAAGCTACATTGTAATTTGTCAAACTCAAAATCGTGCGGTACATCCAATAAAATTTATGTTTTTATATAACCAACATTTTAAAAATTTATTTTATTCATACATACTGTTTACACGTGCAACATTTCTTATATAATTGAGTATCATCCTAAGCGTACAATTTATATTCACCAATACTTCTCTGTTTACGGGCGTGGTTTCTGAATGCTCAATATTATCGCCATTTGATAAATATTCTATAATTATAATTACAATCTTATATCATTAAGTATGATTCAGTTTAGAAGATAATCTTAGCTTCATACCAACGTATTTAACTTTTATAATAGTTGTCATGTCAAATATTTATCATTATAAAATGTGACAAAATAAATTGTATGTCTTTTTTTATCATTTATGCTTCATCGATGGATGCGCAACATGGGTGTCAATCTAGGACTTTTTTTTCGAGAGAATATAACCGATACAAATTCAAAAGTGACAATATCAGAAGTGCATCTGTTTCTTTGCTTTAGATCGTGTCATATATATAAATTTTCGAAAAGAAATATATCTTTTAAAAAATCATATCCTTTATTCCTGAATCTATAAACCAACATTTAAATATATCTTTTTTCAATATCTAAAAATATTCATGTCTAAACATATATGTTCGAAATATTGTCAAGAGGCGACAATTTCTGACTGAATTTTTTTTGCTGAATTCATAGCGCTTCCATTATTGACTTTATTTATCAAAATTATTTATTGCACTACGTTTTTTTTTTTTTTTTTTTCTATTTTAATCTTACAGACTCGGGATCACATTTATATTTGACATGACCTATCTGGAACAATCGGTGTGGTAATCGATATTTTTGCTCGTTAGTGATTTTCTCCTTATTATAATATCGTTCGCTTAGCGGATTCAATCTCGTTTCGCCACGTGCAGTCTTACTTTTCGGGCTTCCATATATGTAATTTTGCGGCATTATCATTCATCACACCGCGCGCTTTCTTCACTTTCGTTCTGACTCTCCATTCGCATTTCTCCTCATGTACTGCACCCACTCCTCTTCGCTGCTACCTCACAGCATGCGTAACAATCACCAGTGCACCTGATGGATCACCAACCGTTCCCACGAAGACACCGAATTCTCTTCGATTCTTTTCGCTGTGTGGACTCGAGTGATCTCAAAGTATCGTATTCGCGAAATCTCGAGCTACCGCGCTTTTAATTGGTGAAAGTAACGCCTGTTCGAAACCGTCGCAGTGATGAAACAGGTGTGCAGGTGGCAGCGATGTGTCTTTTTACGCAATTATCAGGCGGTCACGGTCTCATTTCCCATCATTCTCCTCGTAAGAGAGAATCGAGGACGAGGGTCCGCTGCGATAATCCGGAGATGAGCAGCCCCCTTTGAAAGTACTCCTCTCCTTGTACACCTCCTTGTATACCTGTCGCGTCCGCTTTACGAGCTACAGCTTAATGCCGAGCTTTTTTTCTTTCCTCCATTCTTCATTCTCGTGAGAGACTCATCTCCATAATGCCCGGGCCGATGTCTTTCGTTCCTCTCCCTGATCCTCCTAGTCCTCGGCGCCGCCCCCGTGTCCTTTGCACTTGACAGGTACTCACGACGGTAATGCGTCAACCGCGAGGTACCCTCTTGTCCCCCATTGTCATAACGGCTCGTAAAAAAAAAAGAGAGGCACGAGATGATTTATGTCCCGAGCAGCGTTGTCCAGATCCCATTTCGCGTTCAAACCCATGGAGGTACAAATGCGGGCGCGTGGTAACGGGCGAAATCATCCGATCCGCCCTTCTCCTGGACGTGACTCGAGCGAACTCGACGGCGACTCCGAGAGTCCGTCTGCCGAGTCGACGGTGAATCAACGTAATTAAAACGATATCAAATCGGCCGATCCGCGCGAGTCGATCGATTCGCTCCGCGAACGTCTCTTGGCGCTCGAAGGACCCCCGAGCTGCGTACCGCAAGTATAAATATATCCTAGATCGCCACGAGATACTTTGTAGGAATACAAAGCGCACATAATTGCGCGAATCGCGCCGTTGTTTACGTTTCCCTGCCCCTCTCCCTCCCCCGCCCTTCCCTCCACCCTGCCGCGGGCTCTACGGTTCTCTAAATTCTTGGCACACTTGGTTGCGCGCGTTGTCCTCGACGTCCGTTGCGACGACCTATATGTCTAAAAGAAGAACGACGGCCGTAGATAAACGCGAAATCGTTAACGAGGCAATTCCCGGAGAGCGCATTCGTCATCCGTCGAGCCCCGTCAGCTGTCGAGAAACGCGAACGCTCGTTTCCCTCACCTCCCCCCCCCGCTCCCTCTTCCGCGCGCGACTTCTTTGTGATCGGCCCGCGCTTAATACATGGCATTTAAGGCAAACGCGGAGGGGCCTTTCACGAATCGCCATTGTGCGCTCTCCCGGCGATCTGTTATTATTAGCGGAGCTCTCGAAACCGCGGAGGAAAGTTCTGCCAGTAAAGGATGCATTCCACCGTCGAAGCGAAGGAACGCCGCTCGCGGAAACTGCGTAGATGTATCCCGGAGATGCACGAGCTCGTTCAAGCTCGCGCCCCCCTCCCCTCCCCCTTCCCCTCCTCCTCGAGATGTTTCTCTACCGCCTCGTCCCACGTCTCGTTCTTATTCCGTCCACGAAATACGAGAAAATCCGCATTTTTATTAGCGTATCGAGGAAAAGGCTAGTTCGAAGGAGGAATACTTCGTGTAACAATGTCCTTCGTTTTTCCGCCTCTTTTTCATTTCTCTCGCCGGGGAATCTCTCGGTCTCGTTACAACGCGCATATATAACTTAACATTTTCATCATTAATGTTAACTTCGACCGGTTATATAATTGCACGGGTATAACCCGTCAGGACGCTAATAAGATTCACAAGATGTCATAACTTGACTAACGACCATGACGGAGTTATAGCCCTCAAAAATAGGGTCCTCCCGACGCGTTAAGACAAAGCGTGATGATCTTAGAATGGGAATTAAAAACATTGTGCAATATTAACGTAATATTCACGCAACGAGTGGAAATCGATGCTGCTGTCTGTCGCAAAAAGGAATTTTACAAAAAAGAGCTCGAGCGATGGGAAATCTTTATACCAATTCTGGATGAACTCTCTCGGTCGCGCAAAGATCATGCTGTTACAGCGATGCGATTATTCTAGAGGAATTATTTCTAGGAATAACTTCCGGATGCCTCGAAAATTTCGAGTTTGCGCAGATTTCGACGCGATTCGTTTTTCTTCGTGGAAACGAACAAAAGTTGAAAACGACGACGAGACCGTACGTTTTCGAAGTACGAGAACGTAGTACGAGAAGGACTCGTTGCTCAACGACAGCCCTTTGTCAAAGGATAAAAATGAGACATCGTAAAGTGTATTTCTTCGCGTGGATTTTCGATGTGCAATAAGAATCCTAAGGAGGAAAGAAGACAAGACCCAACCCTTTATATGGGTGTGACGCGCCGGCATTTTCGCCCATTCTCTGTACCTCGTGCCGATCGCATCTGCATCGCATTTAACCATTAGGTTTTATGGTGGATGGATATAAAGTATACCATCTCTTTTCCTCCTTCGTACGTTGTTACTCGCGACAGCAACAGGTTATATTGTCTCGTTCTACTCGACGACGATGACGACGACGACGACGACGACGACGACGAGGAGCAATGTTTTCTCTCCTCTTTCATGTATGCGCAAACACGACCTGATGCGCGAAATTTATTACGAACGCCTGCGGCATCACGCGATGGCATCCTGTTCAATCCGGCGATATAAAACAATATCTCAGAATTGGAGATTAAATAAAAATTCGAAAATGAGGATTCTCACACACACACACACGCGCGCGCGCGTACATATACACACGGAGAAGAGTTCTGTTGGAAAATTTAAAAATTTGGTCAGATCTGAAAATAATTTTGACTTTTGATTTGATTGAACAAAATTGTTTAATTTATTGATCAAAATTATTAAGTAGAATGTCTAGACGTGATAATAATAGGTATACAAAAATTTGGCGATCTTTCAACCAATTTGAACATCGTACATAATAATTTTGAAGGCTAAAATTACTTTCAAATTTGACCAAATTTTTAAATTTGCCTGCGAAATTGCTTTTTTCTGTGTACGAAGAACGATCATGTTACATTGTTCTGAATATAAAATCCTCTTCGAGCTTAGAAAATAATCCATTCCACGAGAGGAATATATTAGCATACCAGAAAGACCTGAGAGAGCCTCTGTCACAAACAAATCGAATGTTTGAATTTGTTTGCGCAATCTAAAACGCGAATAGCCTATCGAGTGTTTGAATTTGTTTGCGAGCTGCGGAGCTGCTTTGTCTTGAAGCGGATTTTACCCGGCGAAATTCGTGAAAGGTACGCATGTGTGTGTGTTCACTTCTTCTAACGCACATAGCGATCTGGATTATATTGCAGACATGTTGAATTTTAGAAATTGGCAGAAATTGGCTGTATTCTGGAAAATATCTCGTATGGACGACTGCGCGCGTAAAATAACGTAAGCGCACGATTAAAACTGCGTGCCTTATTATTATTATGTACACGTCCTTGTTATAAGAAATATTCTGGCGCCACGCCAGAAATATTGTTATCGGCTATTGATTGCTATATTAGCATGTGCACGTGAATTCTCATCGCGTGACACAATCATATTATCATAAACTCTACATATGCATAGCTTCTATTTATAACACGTTTCGACACGGATCACATCCGTCAATTTTTGCCCGAGGATTGTTTCTTCTCGTATATCTAGTTAATGATATTTTTCCAGGAAGAAATATAGAAGGAACGGGATTCTCATTGCGGTTCTTATTAATCCAATTTTCCTTCTCCTACTAGATATCAGAATTTATTTTTTTTTTCATTGTAAACCCATTTTTTCCAATGATAAAAATCCGTCAAGTTCTGACAAGAAATAGCCTAGCTTTATTATTAATACTCTATTATTGAAAATTATCATGTTTCTATCTTTAAATCTCGACGATGGTCCGCAGGTGTATACATTTTTCATTTCTCTTCTTTTTTTTTTTTTTTTTGTTTCTTTCTAGTTGTTACATTATTTT